AATTTTAATGCTTCAAACCTAGAAACCTAAAACTTTTCAGGAATTAGCATTTTCTAATTGGGAAGGGGGGTCCAGGGTCACTTATATTAATTATTTAAAAAAGCAATCTAATGGGGGTTCGGACCCCCCCCCCCCGTAGATCTGCACATGATAACATTTTTTATATATCGTCTTTAAGGGCTTTTAAATAACTTATTCGTATTCTTGGCTTTAAAAATTTACCAATTTGTTTCATGAAATATAATTCTCCTAAAACAAATCTAAAATATGAATTCACAAATGAGTCCTTACATTTGATCAAATTTGTAAATATGTATATTTATGTTCAATTTTTAGGTTTGTTATTGTTCTTTATATATAAAATTGTTTTTATTCTAAAAAAAAATCTCGCTTTCCAGAAGATTAAGGTTGTATTATATATAGTTACACTTAAATTTCTCCAAACTCATTTGTTTCGAAAATATTCGTTCTAAGAGATTGAATTCTAATAACTCAGTCATATCACTTTCAAATAAGAATATGTTACTGGGCTTTCAGTAATATTCTTCATTGTCAGTATTTTCTGCTAATTCATTTTCGTTATAATGACCATGTTTGTAAATGCTAAAGGTTTGTTCATGATTTGACTGACATGTTTCATACAAATTCATTGCATGAATTGTTTTCGTGTTAATTTTAACGACATGTTCAATACAAAGGACTCACGGCTGTTTTTCCCTTCCACAGGGAAAATAACCTCACCAAGCAACCTGATCACCCCTCTGTGTTTCCAAGGTCTGTGATTTTCTCAGATCAGCCTCTTTTTATTTTAACTACGAATTTTTTTTTTATATTTAACAACATTTATAACAGTTGAATTTCAAATTGAACAAGTCTTCATAGTTTGTTGTCTCCTTTAAAACTTAATATGAAAAATGATTAAAAAGTCCTAAACATATGTGTTTACAATTGATCTCTTTTCTGTGGCGATAGAAGAATGAATGTCCATTATTTACAGTAAAAAGAACTGACAGAAGATAAGACATATTTCTGGTATGTAAAAAACGTGAATCTTTGTTTGAATCCTTGTAATGAACATGTAAATATTTTCTGCAACTTAGCAGGTTTTCTACAAACGCCATAAATCTATGTGATTTCAGTTCAGTTATCAGATATCCGTTACTTAAAGCAATATGAGCTGCATTTTTGAGAATGCTATTTTGCTGGTAAAATGTGTTATTATGATTAATTTGTAAATAATCTAAGCCCTTATGATCAAAAAGACCAAAATAAAGTTTTAAAATGTTTCAGCGGAAATATTTTGCACGAGAAAATATAGTGTTATATAAGAAATTATTTTTGTACAGGTTGACAATAATTCAATTTTGCTTCAATCAAAGCTTATAAAAAGTTCTTCCATACCAAATATGATCAACAGAGGTTTATAAACGTTCTATTTTCCTGTCATTAAAATAGTTAATAACAAATTTGAAATATTTCTTTTCCGATGTCAAACATGCAACTCATATTGCTGTAAACCTTCACGTTCCGAATTGCCTCTCCTTTAAGTTGTGTTTGTAAAGAGACTACATGTATTTGGGACTCTGCAAGGATGATGATTTTCTTTTTTTAAGTTGAAAAAGTTACGCAAGATGCGTTGCATTCGATAATACATTGTAATTACATGTATTACATTCGGAAAGTTTGTACACGACATGTCAATATTGTTCAGGAGTTAGATAGAAAAAGTAATCAGTTTTCATGGTTTTAGGATTTCTTTCAGGCGCCCCACAGAAATTGAGATTGTTTGCTACATACTGTCGGGTATAAGGTCCGCACATTGTATGGAGTACTGTTTTGGATATAAAACACATTAATATGATTATGGAAAAGTAATATATATTAATGTCCCAAACTGACATACTTCTTCGTATAATGTTTTTAAGTCTAATTAAAAAAAAGTTTATTGGACATGTTGAATATTCCGAAATCAAATTTACTTTCCACCGGACTTTGAAATTGATTTTAAAATATGTTTTGCATCAATTTTGACAGTATATCATATTATATAGACACATGCAATTAATTTCTCTAATAAAAAATTACCCCATACTATAATAAAATTTTACACAAGGTTTCTAACTACATGGAGTAACCCCTTCCACAAATTGCTTTAATATATTTACATGGTTTTGTTTTGTTTCATGTATATTCTTGCTATTTTTTTAAAATTAGGATAAGGAAGAGTTTTGGTCATTATGTGCCTGGTGAAAAAAAATGAATGTCCCGCCCAAACTTCATTACTAATACAACATGGAAATTCACCGTATACAAGGGGTAACGCGGGGGAGTCGCTAAAAAGTATGGGGGAGTCGTTTTCAACGTATGGGGTAGTAGCTTTTCACCGCTTCGGAGTCAGAAGCGATGTAGGTCACGTCTTTTTTCGGTATTTGTAAGATATATTTTCAAAAAAGCAAGTATCCCGCGGAAGATAGCAATTGTTAAGCTTTGTATTTGTCTTCTGTCCAAGTTTCATTTACGTCTAGTATTCTCAAACACTTCGAAATCATTCGACAGATTTCATATTTACGGCGGTTACTGGGATTTTCAAACAACAACAAAGATGAATATATAAATAAATAAATAAAAATAAAAAAATAATAAGAAATAAAAATAAAATAAATAAATAAATAAAATAAAATGAGAAAAAAAACTGTATAACATGTATCAGCAAATAAAAGAAAAAAACGTAATAGAGTTTTTTTTCAATTAATTTTAGATTTGAATTGCTTTATGTAATACATTGCACTGATCAAATCTGAAATTTATTAAATACAATACATTTGCATTCTTGTAATTATTTAAGATAAAAAATAAGTTTTTATATTAAATTTAAAATTCAGTAATTTTATCATTTGAAATATTATTCATGATTAACTATGGTGAAAAAAAATATTTAGCACGTGATCAGATTCAACATTCCAATGCAGATATCTTTCTTAGATGAACCTATTGAAAATATGTTCAATTCTGTGTGAATTTCATTTGGGGGTCAGAGGTCATAGCGCGACCGAATAACAATGCCAGGTGATTTTTTGTCTTCATATTTCTGTCACGGTGCAACTTGTTTTGGAATATTTCTAAATTAATACAATGAAAAAGATAAAATGATAAATAATAAGGATATTTTTCAATCACGAGATGTACAATAAATCTTCTTTCGTTGTGAAGTAGGTTTTGAATACTATGATTAGCCTAAAACCGCACTTACCTTTCTTAACCCAAAATTCCTTTGGAGTTATAAAAACTAAAACAGGCGATACCAGCGCTTTTGGCATGTTTTATTGTAATTTAGTATCAAAACCCATCATATCTATGGATCAAATTGTCTTGTGAAAAAGTAAGAACCATATACCAAACCCGTTCGTTATCTCCATACGGTTTAGTAAATCCACATAGCAGTCGCTATACAATCCCCTTGTTTTGTTCGCATACTAAAGGAAGAAATATTGACGGCATTGATCGTAAAAATACATCAAAACATTCCCTGTTTCACCTACGGACCAATTCGTCTTAATTGCTAAAATTATTCGCTCGGTTGATCAGCATTTTCAAATAAAACAAAGAATGTGACACATTGTTATTATTGACAACAGTAAAAAAAAAAGATACATATGAACAATTATTATGCTTCCTGTCAGTTTGTCTCTATATAACCCCTACCCTACTATTCTCGCATAGTGGTCTAAGGATTTATATAGCGTAAGCATACTATGCCGAAATAGTGCACGGCTTTATTTATTGAAGAAAATTCTTCAATGCACACGCCGGGGATCGAACTCACGACCATGAGATTGTCACTCCGATGCCTTATCGATTACGCCACAGAGACGATCACCACTTCTTAGAATTTTATTATATATATAATCTTAATTTATACAATTGACACAAGAAGGAGAAAATAGACTAATATTATTTGAAAACAGTTATATTATTCTAAGGAACCTTAGATTAATGTGTACAACAAAGATTCAAACTAATTACATACAGATCGTTAGATGAACTGATTTCATAGGGTCATTAAAACGCTTTTTTATATGACGCTTGATTGAAGGATGTAAAAGAAAATTATCAATGAGAATCGACGTCTGCAAACAAATAAATCTTACTAACAAAACAGAAAATAAAGATGAGTTGCTTTGGGACAGAAAATCCCGACCTATTTAGAGAAAATATTAGTAACCAAAATAAGTAAGAATGCAACCAATTTTAGCATGAAGATTTTGAATGAGTTCTTGCAAGTGCGCTGTGTTAGCACCGATATTTTCAGGAAAAAGTCAAATGGATTGGATTGCCGCATAAATAATTACAACAGTCAGCATAATAATAACAATAGTGTTGTATTATGCATGTACTATGCCTAAATAGTAGGCAGGGTTTGACACATAGTGCACTCACCTCCGGCTCGTGCACCATGTGTCAAACCCTGCCTACTATTTAGGCATAGTACATGCATAATGCAACACTATCATATAAGTATTACTAGTACCTGCACATTTTGATATTGATGAATTAAAAAAAATCAAATGTTCTTTTTTTACTGTTGGCAATAATAACAATGTGTCACATTCTTTGTTTTATTAAAAATGCTGATTTACTGTATACAGGGAAATTTTCGCCCCACCCTCATTTTGGCGAATATAAAACGAGGCGAATTCAAAGAATGCAGTATAATTTCTAAAACAAAACTTTGATCGGGCGATTTTAAAACGGGGCAAAATTGTTTGTTAATTTAAGTTTCGATTAAGCGCATTATGTATTTTTGGTTAATTAATAAAACTGAAATAACAAGAAATGTTTACTGAGTTTATTGTTATAAAAGTGATTACATTAACAGCAAAAATAGTAAAACAATAGTTAGTGAAATACAAGTCGGTGTTGATTTTTCTTTATAAAATAAACAATTTATATGACATAAATGACAGAAATTATAAATTAGATATTAAAGCTACGGGATTGCAATGACAAGATTAATCCCGGAAACTGTCCATTAGTTTCCGAAGTCCCGTTATTATTCCCATCATGCTTATAAAAGTCTATCTGAACACCCTGTTCATTGACGGATTGTTTGTAAGTTTGACCCGTCCAGCTGTCAGGACCTTGTAATTTAACCCAAATTCTATATCGTTTATAAGGATATAAGATCGCTGGTTTCCTGAATTCAACAACAAACTGATAATCCGAAGAAACAGTTTTTTCTATTACCTGAGAAGGTATATCGGCCATTTCGTTATAGTTTTCAATCAATTTTCCCTCAACCGTGTACCTATATGGAACCGACATTCCTCCCCACATCATAAAACCATGAAGTTTAACTTTTCTGTTCACTGTAAATTCTAAACTGTCCTCGGTACCCCCATAACTCCAACTTTCTGTCGGTCCACTGCCACGAAAAACCGTAAATGTTTTACATGTATATCCGCGCTCTTCTTGATTGAATTTTGTGTTTCCTTTGGGCAGATTACCAACAATAATTTGCTGCAAAATTATCATCTCTTCAGGAGTAAGTATTTGACGTTTGCAAACATCTTTTGCAAATGTTTCTAAAGTCAAGGACTGAAAACGAACGTGATAGATGATATCTCCTATCTCTTTTTTGATATTGCCATCAGACTTTTCTTTACGTTTTCTTTCGCATTGGTTTTCAGCCCCATTTTATAAGAAATTGATAAATTTCCAGTTCCTCTATATTTAAGTTATCGGATGAGACTATCTCGCTGAGGGTTTCTTTCATTAGTCCTAAAGCAGACGGCGACTGAAATACGGACTCACAGTTTTGTTCAATGAAATCCATACATTTTTCTTTCAGATTTTCAAAGTTGAATAACTTTGCAGGTTCAAGGATTGTACAGACAGTTTCCGTTGTAATATTTTGATCTAAATATGATTGCATTTCTTTTTTCAATTCATCAGCATCATATTTATCAGCAGCGTACAATGCCCCAATGACTGTATCCTTGGTAACATCAACATCACCGCAATACAGAAATCTATATAAAAAACATATTAAATTATAAGTATAAAATCTGACCTGCTTGTTTTCGACAAGTTTGTGGTATGTTTTTTAATCAAGTCCATTCTTTTTTGCCATTTTTAGTCATGTTTTTTTTTTGTACACTTATAGAGTTCTGTATGCACGATTGTTCTACATTAATTAGGGCAAATTTAAGATATGCATTTCATTTCTTTTATTGTATGTACCTTCTGGGCTGTTTTTAATTTTGTCTTGTGACAGATGTAACATATATTTTATATAAAACAATACTGCTGTATATTTCATTGGCATTTGTAATTAATGCTCTCTCTTTTCAATTCAAATATTTGTTGAAATCAAATTTTGGCAAAAAAAAAAAAAAAAAATAAATAAAAAATAAAAAATAAAAAAACAGATTAGATTTTCGTAAAAAAATGAATATAGGTATTTGAAGTAAAGATACACGATGGTATAAGTATATCATGAACGTAAGCTGACAGAGGAAATACTTCAGCAAAACCGGAAACTGTGCATATGACTACTGGAAGACTTCATCATATTTTTTTAAAAAATGAAAATATGGCGTTTATATTTTGAACATGATTTTTTTAAGCACATTCACACAATGCAGGCATTACGTTGAATGCAAATCTATACATATAAAGAATACCTGATGTAAAATTTAATGCTTTTGTTTTAATACTTTGATTTACTCTGTAGATATTACTGATTGTAGAAATGATTCGTAAAACGCAAGGAAAAGGAAAAAAACAACAGATTTATGGATTTGATTTTCAAAGAGCTAAAAAATAAGGCAAGGAATAATAAAATGAAAATTCTACCTTAAAAGAACATGAAATACAGCTGGCTCAATATCAGGAATTTTAATTTCCTTAGCTTCCGCCAGGTCACCATACAACATGGCGTCAAACACGGGACTTCTGCTCGCTAGAACATACTTATGAGCGCGAACAAGCTTTTCTTCTTTCCCCACTCTAAATGAGACATCACAATGAATCTCGTTCTTCAGCATATATCTGTTACATTCAGCAACACTGAGGCCAGAACGCCAGTTCTTCGAAGTCTTGACTTCATTCATCTAAAAATAATTAAATTTTAATTAAAAAAAATTGTTTATATCATGTTTATGGGCTTTCAACTAAATAAGTTGGACATTTCGCTTTAAAAATTAAACGATTTAATTCATAAAATTTAATTTGTCAAGATCTAATCTAAATATATACATGTACATACATGTACTAGATGAAATCTCGCGCAAGCGCGGAAGAATAATTTTTTAACTAGTATAAATACTATTCCAAAAAGTATCTGTAATTTTCTACTGACAGTTAAATATACAGGCTTATAGCATGGCTGCTAACAGAAACCACCACCGTACTCTCTTTTGTGCTATTTCGAGGCTGTTAACCGATAATGAAAGTAGACTATCAATTAAATTTACGATAATTATTATGCGAGTGAAATCTGAATTAGTTATTGACATGACCTTATATCTAGTTTATTTCCAGAGAAGTAAGTAAGAACGTTGGTACAGCCGTTTCGGAGTTTATCTGCAAAATGTATTAAAATATAAGTATAGATGAGTCCCCACATTTAAATCTATTTCTTATGTACATTTTTAGATTTATCAATGTTCTTCATAATTATATAAATGATTTAAAATTGTTGTTAAGCTTTAAAAAATCGGCGTATTTTGTTAAACTTTCCAGAACATTAAGGCAAAATCTAGCAGGTATTATCAGTTTAAGAACTTCTCTCAACTCATTCGATTAGAAAATATATAATCTTCGTATATTTTGTTCTAATAACTGAATCAAATAAATTTCAAATAAGTTGGTGTCAAAGGAATTTTAATATTTCCCTGCTTTGCCAGTATTTTGCTTATTCATTTCGTTATAAAGAAAATGTTTGTAAACACTACTCAACGTGCAGTCATCACTTGAACATGTTGACTGACATGTTTCGTACAAATGTATTTCATGAATTGTGTCCTTGTTAATTTTGGTGACCTTAATTTTAACAATGAGGTTCAAAAAAGCGGGTTCTGATCAGTCGCCATGGAAACGTTTACTTCAACAAGGAACCTGTTGGTCATTTCAGAAAAAATCCTACGACTAAGAATTAATTTCCCCACCATTCTTCAACAGGTATCTAAGGCGGAAAAATCTTTTTTTCTATTACACTATAATTTTATTTTATGAATGCATTGTAAATAATATTCATAAAGAAAAAAACATCTTCATTAAATAAAAAAATATTGAGTGGTGAAATTTCATTCGAAGAAAAAAAATGTGAAAAGGGTCACTGATCACCCACTGTGTTACCAGGGTCTGTGACTTTTCCCCGATCAAGTGTCATATTTTTTTTAATTTCAATATGATTTTTAAGAATGAATTTAACGATTTGTATTATAAAATTGAACAGATCTATTCTCAATTCATCATTTTTGTTACGAATACATTTAAAAGACTATTTTTATGACATTGTATTTTTAAAAAGTGTTCAATCTACACGAAACAGTCATTTCATTTTCCCCCATATATTGATAAGAAAAGAAACTTTTCCTACTTTAAAAAATAAATATTTCAATGGGTTTCCGTAGCTGATACAATGAATTTAAAACTAAAGTAAAAGTAGATAATATAAAAAAAGAAAAAAAAAAAAGGAATTCAGTAATTCAATCACTAGTATATGTAAACATGTATGTTTTACCTTGAAGACTTACATGGCTTATCTGCGTCTCTTTCCATATTATTTAGCAAGTTATAATCTGATAATGAATAACTATGTTAAACTTGTAAACGTACAAAGGAACTGGGATATAGTGAAGCTTTTTTTTTATCAACATATTCATTATATATCTAAATCACGATACCATTTTTTAAATAAAGTAATTACACTCATTAAAATACACACAAAGTTTTTTAAAAACGCTTACCTTTGGCAAACAAATGCATGTAAACTACGGTGAAACGTTCGGGTTATATAACGTTAGTTTTCTTTAGAGTGTTGGCGATCACGAATTGCCCACGTGAAATTGTCAAACATTTCATTAACTAAGAAGTAGTTAATTAAAAGAGATTGCATTGAGGTCTGTAGTGAAAAGCGTTTTTATTAAAATAAAAATTCGAATAATTAGAATATCATTAAATACTGTGGTGGAAAGATGCATTGAATCATTAGAAATAGAATAACAATTTAAAACACTTTTTTTCACCAGATAAGTTTTTTTTAAAATTGATTTTTTTTATTATTTAATTGAAAATAAAGGGTGATAACTCTTACCAAATTTCAAGGTCATGAAGAAATACGCAACCTAACTCTCGATTCCCGCCTACATTTTGCAACCATTTAATTCAATTAAAATGATAATTTGGCCATAAATTCTTTGTTTCATACAAAGAAAAGTTCAATGGTAATTGATGAATTGTCATAATACCAGCGCTAAACATTAAATTATCCATAGTTCCAGCCCTTGAAAAAAGGGGGTAGATGATATTTTCCATTCAAATCGGACTTTTAGGCATCATCATATTTTGAAATAGTCTTGGATATGATCAAATGTTCCTTATATCTTTTCTTATATTTTAGGCAAATAAATAAACATAGATATATTAATAAAATATAATGTTTCAGTTGTAAATCGCTTTGAAATTGGTGAAATATAAGCATTTTTGTCGTTTTTTGTCAATAAATATATGTTCCCTCCGTGACACACAAAACGCTTTAGTATAATTTTGTGAAATAACAGTCCATATTACCTGTAAAAAGGAATTTTTTTGTCACAGTGGGGAAAGATTTTTAAATTTTTTTTTTCCATTTTCCGATGATTTCTATAGTGTAAAACACAAGTTTCACCAAAATTTTAGAGTTATCTCTCTTTGTTTTCCCAAATAAGTAATGATGAAAATCCATATAATTATCTATTAAAAATATCAAAAAATCATCGAATATGTTAACTTTTGAAAATCGACTTGGAGGTAGACGGGAGAACAATACTATCGTTCGCAGTTCTTAGGACCATCCCACCCTTACATGCTAATTGTAAAAGACGGGAATTATATCTTATAAACTGAGTATTCTATACTTACACAAAACTTACACATCTTTAATGTATTCAATTTCATTGAATATGTTGCTATTAGGGATTAAATACATTAAAAAATTCTTTTTTATTCATATGTGGTTTGAATTTCTCTACTAAATAAAATTATCTGATCAAAGAGCTCGGTTCACTTTATGCATAAAATGGCCCTGTAGATATACCAATTGATTGATTAACACTTGATTTTCCATTTGAAGCATTAAAATAAAATAGAGACTTAGTACTTTCATTTCCTTTTAAAATTTTTCTCCTAAAAGTCCAGGTCTTCGAGAACTGGCTTTATGAAATAGCAATATTCTTGAATTTTAGGGTAAATATGCATAACTGAGTGCTTTCAGTGAAGAAAAATAATATCAGCGCACTCTCTGATCTAAAAAATAAAACATGTCATTTAATGCCTAGAAACAGTTCTATCATTTAGTAGTTGCATATTTTAGATCCTAGGTTACGATCTATATTAAATATCGAAAAACAGCTTTAAAATTGATCGTTTTAGTAGACTTTTTCAGAATATGAGGATATTGACGCATTTTGTGACGTCATAATGCATTGACTAGCCAGAAAATGACGTCATTTTTGATAGATACGCAGTCACCAAAGACCTAAGTGATATTCAATGCATTGTTCACTAAGTTTATGCAGTTTCAGTTTTTCAGAAATTCACAGGGCCAAATAAGGCAAAAGTGAACCTTGTTCTTTGAACTTAGGTGGCCGACTTGGGTCTTATTGTGTGAAAACTACAATAGCAAAAACTCTTCATTTTTATATCATGTACGAGGGCTGTTCGGAAATTATTGAGACAATTACATTTACTCCACAAAGGACGGAGATAATTTCATGAAAATTCATCAACATCTTATAAAGAACGACTAAAACACTTATGCAAAATTTCTTATTCCTATGATAATGAGGTAAGTTTCGGTGAAGTAATAAATATGCATATGTCTATCGTCCCGGAGCAGCATCGTTACGTCAATTAACGTTACGTTAGCCGCAGATGGTTTCGCATGTGAAACGATCGGGAAGCGTTTAATACTCTTCCTTCTTTGTTATTACATATAACATTACAAAAATCAAATAGTCTCTATTCTTAAACTATTCTTTAAAAATGTATGCTGTTGCTACCCCAGTGAAAAATGTTCATTTGTGGGAAAGGATGACTTAGAATCATGCAGTGCCGATTTATGCAACGCGGGTTTAATACCGTAACGATATCAATAATGTACGTAATAACTCATGGTCGTCCAGATCTTTTAATTTTACTCTGGTTAAATTAATTGTAAAAAAAATGTATGCCAATGAAAAAACAAACCCTAACACATTATTTTTTCTCGTTGTTATTGTTTTAGCAGGTCGTTCAGTCTTGAAAAGAGTTCTACATTGCGCTACACAAAATTTTAGGTATGCTGGCTGCTCCGCCCTTGACGTCAAAATCCATTTTGTCCTTGTTAGCAGATTTCTCTACCGCGCTTAATTTTTTTTATGATCTCCGTATTTCTGATCAAAATTCTATCAAAGTTGCACAACACGAATTTGAAACAAAGCTGAAAAATTATACACTTAAACTGAATTATTTTCACTCTCATTATGGATCCACGAAGAGTTAGAATTTTGGTGTTACATATTTTCAATATCCGATTCCGCGACTGCTCCGGGTACCCCTACTATAGACACATTTATATACCATTGTAGAGAAAATATTTAATGTTTGTAAAATATTTCTTGCTTATATTAATTTTTAGTGTATGTCAAACGTATATGCAAATTTTCACCGAAAGACGTTCATTAGAAAGCAAAATATTCACAATGTCTCAATAATTTCCGAACAGCCCTCGTATAATTTACATTAACTATAGTGTACACGCCGAGTTTAAGAGAAATCTACCTTCCAGGTATTTTTAAGGGACCGTCTCAAAATACAGGTACATTTACTATAGAATGTATTTAGAAAATTTCCAATTCTAGCACTTAAA